TCGCTAAGGACAAGAGGGAGGTGGCATTCATCAGCCCCTTTGCCTCAAAGGAACCAGCCGAGCCAAGGGCGCTCACACCTCCCTGGGGCCAGGCCGCTGCTCCTCTCTGCTCCCCCTCCCCACCTGCCCAGAGCACGCCTTCCATAAAGCCAAAGCACCTGTCCGTGCAGGCGTCCAGGAGCTGCCCCAAACTCAGGCCCCAATTAGAAGTCAAATTAGCAGCCATGTTCCCCGCCAGCCGGGCGCCAGCCGGACACGGCAGCAGCGGCCGCGGTGCAGGGACACAGCACCCAGGGTGCCGACTGCCAGAGTGCTGGGGGCTCCTCACGAGCTCCGCCCCAGGGACGCCTAGCGGGCTTGCGAGTGGCCTCCGGCAGGCTGACAGCGCATGCGCATGGGGTGGGGGGGCGCTGGGGAGCATCCGAGCAGGTGAGCAAGCCTGAGGCCGAGTTCCCCAGCCCAGGAACGGTTTCCCTGAAAAGGAGAATCTGCCTGAAAACAAAAGGGGGGCGGCAGAGGGAGCCGGCGGGGCGCCCCGTCTACGCCCGGGGCTCCTCCAAACGCAGCATGGAGAAAACTAGTTAAGTGGGTTGCGCAGAGTACCCCCACTTTGTTACCTACGGAAATGTCCGCAGGGCGAATAGATCTGTCTGTGGGCAGAACGCCGGGCGGGGCGGGTGGAGCCGAGACGGGCAGCTCCAGCGGGGGCCCCGCTTTCCTCCGCTGTCTGGCAGAAGATGCAAACCCGCCCGCACCGGGGGTCAGAGCCGCTGCCCTTGCCCGGGGAGCGGGGCAGCGTCAGCCCCGCCCCGTGACGCAGCGCAGACCAGGGCCACATGGTGACCCTGACCGGGCAGCGCCCCGGCAGGGCGGTGAGTCCCCCCCCCCCCGTTCCCCTCCACGCTCCCCAAGGTGTGCGTGGGCGCTGGGGAGGGATGTGCCGCAGAGCAGACCACGCTGGGCTCTGAGGGTGGCAAGAAGGGAGCCCCGCGCCTGCAGGAGGGGCAGCGCTGTGCGTGCGCACCGGGGCGCGGGGTTGTGCGTTCGTAGCAGTTAGCTGCCTCGGCTAATACTCTGAGACTGTAAGATCGTAATTGCTCGGCCGTATAAAATGTGCATAAGCAACACTAAACCCCCCAGCAAGTTATGGGAAAAGGAAAGGAAATGTGATTGAATAAATGAGTAGATAAAACAGTTCTTGACTGGGGGTTTGCTCAAAGGGAGGGATGTAGAGGGCGAAGTCACTGCACTGGCTTAAGGTGGCAACCCCAGGTCAGTGGACGTGAGACCATGACATGACTGTACGGGGAGAGTCAACAAAGACCCAGTGGGTGAAAAATTCCCAACACAAAGCATCGGGCAAGGAGGCACACTCACCTGGCAAGGGACACCTGCCGAGACCCTGCTGTGCACAAAGCCCCTCAGAGGTCAGCGACTTTCCCCTAAGGGGTCAGACGGGAAGAGCTTAGACTCTGTGGCCGGGGCAGTCTCTAGTGTAACTGGCCCACCCTGCGGGCGCGCCAGGGGCAGCAGGTGCAGACCGCGGCTCCGGGGACCCCCACAGGCTGGCCAGGCCCACGCACCAGGCACGGCCGCCCCGAGGAAAGGAGCTGTGGCCTGCACACCTCAGTGTGTGGCGCTGGGAAGGCCCTTGTAAAGGTGACCTCTTGGATGCCTTCTAGGTCTGCGTCACCACGAGGTTAAACCTGGAGAGCAAAAACGCAGCATGACTCCTGAGGACGCTGGGGGCTAAAGTCCAGCTGAAATACAGAACTTGGTGTTGACACTGAGTCGGTGTGGGCTGGACAGTTATCTGTTCAGTTACTCTAAATCTGAATAGTTACTCTCAATTATTAATTCATGCATCGTTCTTAAATCCTATAGAAGACTCTCAACAGAGAGTAGTTAGAGCACATTGTTATGGCCCATTAGAGAGGGTGTTGGCATTACAGATTGACTCAATTCATTTTTAAATTTAATTTCATATTAATAAACGGAAGCAATTTAAACTCAAGACTCCCAGAAGCTTCTGAGGAAACCGTCACTAAAGAGTCACATGTGTGTTTGGTTAAATATAGGAGAAAAACCTAGACGGAACGTTCCCCAGCACAGCAGAAATCCCAGAGTCAACCAGAGTCCAGCACTGTTACGGTCACACCGGAAAAGGGGTTCCCAAAGGCGGGAGGGGGCAGTGGCGGCCCAGCCTGCGTTCTCCAGCTGGACGCCGTTGCCTGCAAAGCCAGGAGAGGCAGTGTCCTGCTGTCCACCCGCTAGGGGCCACAGCCACCCCCCACGGTGACACCAGTGAGTCCTCGCTCCAGAAGCGCTGGTGCAGAAACTGAGCGGGCTGAAGCTCAACTCCCAGATTAAGTATACAGGAAACAAAGCCCACATCTACTGACTTTTGGAAGGATTCCCCCTGCCGACACTGACCGGGTCATCAGAGACGTGTTCAGCCTGGACACCGCAGCCAGGCAGAAGCTGTGCTTATTCCCGCAGCTGTGAGAGAGAACAGGCTGAGATCCCTCCCCTCGGCAACAGCACAAGGTCCAAGAGGGTCTGGAGTTATTTCCCAAGAAGGGCAGAAAGACACGGCGGGCAGTAAGCTGCGGAGCCTGTTTGCAGGACACTCTGGCCACGTCCATCTGGGCTGAGGGTGGGCGGCCCCACAGCAAAGTGCTGCCTGTTAGCCTGAAGCCAGTGCATTTTTCTCTCTCTCCGAAAGCTTTGTTCTGGTGAAATAACTGCTGTGATCAAAGCAGGAGGAAAAGTGATGCGAGAGCCATCTTTAGGGTGATGGTTGCCAAATGGTAACTGTAAATGAAATATCCCTTCGGTGTTCAGTATTCGGAATTTTAACCGTAAGGGAGAATGCGCCTTGGTTTTGTGCTCAGCCATTTATTTTCAATGTTAGTATTTACTCGTGGATTCTCGGGCTTACGCAATGTATTCGAATGCAATACTACTGCTTTTTACGCTGACCACCAAGTTGACTCAGATTTCTTCAGCAAGTTCACTTCAGCTGGACTCTAGATCTTATTCACATATTCTCCTTATTCCTTTAATATTTTCTTAATTTCTAAAACAACAAGATCTTCCAAGCTGAACAGGAACCTTTCCTTCTCCAGCCCCAGAAACAGCTGCTTCTCTAAGAAGCTTGTCTCCTTCACGTGGGGAATTATATTTGGAAAGAAGCCACGTACTGGGTGTTCACTCTGCTAAGAGGACAAAGCCTCTCGAACCTTCCAGCCCAGAGAGCGAGCAGCTAGGAGCAGGGATTACCATGTACCAGCACATGCCTGCAGACACCCCAGTATGTACACACAGCCCAGTATAGACAAACCCCGGTATGTACACACACTCCAGTATATACACACCCCAGTATATACACACCCCAGTATACACATCCACCCAGTATATACACACACCAGCATGTACACACTCTGGTTTATACACATCCCAGTATATACGCACACTCCAGTATAGACACCCACCTCAGTATATACACACTCCAGTATAGACACACTCCAGTATGGACAAAACCCCAGTTTACATACACACCCCAGTATATACACACACCCTGGATACACACACCCCAGTATATATATATACACCCCAGTATATATACACACACCCCAGTATATACACACACCGCCTTTATAACACATACTATAGCACATCATCTATACCATGAAAATCAAAACGGGCATCAGATAAGGCCCCTCTCCTCCAGGGAGAGAGAACACTTTCTATAAAAGATGATTGAAAGCCAGACTTGGAACACACATTTGAGCTAAATGGCTGATCATTCTGATCTCTTCTCAATACATCCATGCTTTAGCCACCCATCAAATCATTTAAAGATTTCCGTGATACAGTAAATGGTGGTGATGAGACAGTTCACCGCTCATGAAGAAGCCATTAGGATAACAACGGATTCTTTATTGTCATCCATCTTTAAGAAACAAAACAATTAGCATCTGACTGTACCAGGTATGAGTGCCCATGGTCAGCAATTAGTGTGCCCATCCTCTGGGGAGATTTATTAACTTGGCAATGGCAGTGCAGGGCGGGGGGTTCTGTGACATTGCCCAGAGCAGAAACCCCACAGTGCCAGGGACTGGGGCTCGACCTCCAGTCCAGCCTCCGAAGTCCTTGCTTTTTACCCACATGAGCTTGGCTTGTGGGCTGTCTCTGCCCAGTACGAGACAGACTGACTATCAAGCCCCAGCTTTCACCACCTCCCAGACGTTTCCACACACCAGTGTTATAAAGCTCCCCTCCAGGCATCGGGGCTCTGATACAGAGGCTGGTAAACATTTTGCAAACGACACAAGTCAAGGATGCTGGTTCACTCAACAGTGAGCTCCAGACAGGGAGGCAGGGGCTGGCGCCTGGGCCTCTCCAGCTCCCGCCTCTTGCGCTTTTCTAAAAGACAGGTTGCGCGCGGGTGACCGAAGCGGGTTCCGGACCAGGTCTGCCACTGAGGCAAATGCTACATCAAGCACAAAGATGGCGGCCGTTCTCCAGCCGCAGAAGCAGAAGCAAGGGGGTTGAGATGCAGCAGCCCTTATTTGCTACAGGTGGGTTTTAGCCCGATTCATATCTCTTCAATTATAAAAGATAAAGAAAAGCCAAAGCTCTTTCCCAAGGGGAATCTTTTGCAAGCGTGATTCATTTGAGTGCATCAAACGAATCCACAATGTCTCTAACCCCAGAAGGTGCATACAGGCACGAGGCAATGCCCTGGGCGCACCGTGACGCTGGTGGAGGACTGTGCCCGCGAGGGAGGAGGGGCCGCCACAGCGCCAAACAACGGCTTGGGAATTGAACCTGGCCGGGACTCGCATCAAACGGAGCAGCCGCGGGGCCCGCTCCACCCACCACGAGGCGCAGCGCCCACCTGGACGGACACCCCTCCAGGAGCCTGTCTTCCGTCCCGCCCACGGGGAGCTGACTGGGACGGGACAGGAAAGCTTGAGAAAATGAATTGCACGTACCTGGATCAGAGACAAGTCCTCCAGCTGCAGCCTGAAGAGGTAGTTTCTACAAAACACAAAAAGAGAAGTTTTACTTTTAATAGATGCGGAAGTCTACACTCACAGAGATGATAACAGTAGGAGAAAATGCTGATGTTTGGCTCCCAGTGGGCCCTCCTGCCAGGAACGTATGTAGCCCAGTTTTCCATGGACCTCATAGTTCCAAGAGGCACTCAGCAGATCAACAGACACGTGCCTGAGACTGTGAGAACTTTAGGCATGGGGTGCTCGGGTGTATGTGAGGGTGAGAGAGCAGGAGAGTGAGACCAAAGGACATCTAAATCGATGGTTCCCTTGATCTCCTTGGAAAAGACACTGGGATGCAGGCATGAGGTTCTGGACCTGTTATTAAATGGTACTTCACAGGTCTGTTGCTTACATTCACTGGGGGCATGCACCTGTGAATAATTCAGCATGTGCAGGCTCTGAATCCCTGATGGCTGAGTGCAATGATGGTCTGCAGTGCTAGATGCATCTGTGTATGGTATGTGGAAAGCTTGAATTTGTCCTTCTGTCAAGGCTTATGGTCATCCCTGGCGTCCATGTGTGAAGGATGAAGTCAGAGACCAGGGAAGTATCAGTTACCAACGAGTGGGAAGGACCATTAAGTATATGACAGATCAGCAGTGCAGGGCAAACACACAACACAGATGTGGGTATGGTAGGTTTGCACTCGAAACTGTAGCTTTTAGAGACTATGAATTTTCCTCACATGTGATGCTTTGGCCTCTAACTCCAGTCACATAACACCACCTCACCTTCCTGCAGATGAGAAGCTGGTGTGTTAGGGGCAGCACCCCAGGGCTGGATAGAGGGACTGTCCAGAGGATCACCCAGATGCAAACAATGGCACAGAGTGGAGAGTAGACCCTAAGACCTCAGGAGCATGGGGCGGGGTCTCTGGGAAGGTGGGGGTGTAGTATCAATGCACTGACCCAAGGTTATTTTTTTTTAATTTTTTTAAAGATTTATTTATTTGTACATACAGAACTGGAGTACAGGCCAGAGGCGCAGGGGCGGTGAGAGGCTTCACCAGAGACAGAGCGGGGAGCAGAACAGGCAGATCTATGAAGTACACTGCTGAGGGGAACAGCAGGCGTGACCCAAGGTTATTTTTATGGAACTAAGAGAATAACAGCATTCTCCCAGTCCTAGCAAAAAAACAAAAGCAGATCACTTTTACTATCTAGAAAGGTGGGTAGATGACAGGAGGGCACAAAGTCTTGGTACAAGGGACAAGTGATGCCAGCTCAGACCCAGCGTGTAGCCTGGACAAGACCAAGAGGCATCCGCGGTGTCTCGGAAGAACAGAGCCATGGTTTCCTGCAGTGCTGACTGGCACCCACGTGTGCGTGTGCCCGGCTGGAGGAAGAATGTGCACTGAGTTCACTTCTAGGGTGTTCTCAGGGTTCCTCACAATTGCCTCACATGGGGCACAGCCATCCTGCCCTCAGTGAGAATTGACCAATCCTACAGTCTCCTGCCACACTCTCCACCCCTCCATTTGCCTCTGAGATAATGAGAGAAGCTTTGCCCTGCACATGCCAGCTGCACCACGTGGGAACACGTGCCCTCCCCGCTCCACGCAGCCGGAGCCCTCTCTGCGGCACAGGCGACGGCTGCCTTTGCAGATGACAAAGGACGGTGCCCAGCAGAGGCAGGTCTCCTGCAGGAGGGCCTCCCTGTGTCTGTGTGTGTGTGGGGGGGGGGGAGGCTGCCAACCCGACAGCACTGGAGCCTGCTGAACATTTGGGGATCCCCAAGCTCTCCCCTGGTGAGAAACAGGCACCAGAAACCAGCAGGGCTGCGGTGAGAAGCTAGAAGTTCACACACAGATAAACCCTTCAGAGAAGAACCAGAAGGCGAACCTAAGAAGGCCATTCTGGAACCCACTCACCCAGCACTCTGGACTTCAGCCTCCAGAACCATCAACAACTTGTTGTCAACAAGACCCCGGTGGGTAGCGCTGGGTTATAGCAGCCTGAGCAGACTAAGAGAGTTAGAACCTGATTTACAGTAACAAATGTGCCACATCTCTCCAAGCAAATCTAGCTCTGCTGAATATTTGCTTCCCTTCTCAGATACCCCCTGCCTACCTGCAGGCGTTTCCAGTGGATTCCAGCCCTCCTCCTCCCCCAGACAACTGAGTCAGTGAGTCAGTAGTGCCATTGCACCAGTTCTTCGTTAATAATTTAATATATAGAGGAATAGGGGAATGGAAGGAACAGAGAGGAGGGCTGTGCTAACTAGGACAAAATATGAGATATAATATCATATCAGATATAATATCATATGAGATATAATATCACCACCTCCACCACCACCACCACCACCATCATCACTATCTTCACCATCATCATCATCACCACCATCACTACCAACACCATCACCACTATCATCACCATCATCATCACCACCACCATCATCATCACCATCACCATCATCATTACCACCACCATCATCACCACCATCATCCCTATCACCATCATCACCACCATCATCACCACCACCATCATCACCACCACCATCATCCCTATCACCATCATCACCACCATCATCACCATCACATCATCACCACCACCATCATCCCTATCACCAGCATCATCACCATCATCATCACCACCATCATCTCCATCACCTCCATCATCACCACCAACACATCCCGATTACAATCATCATCACCACCACCACCAGCACCAGCACCAGCACCACCATCACCACTGTGCTCACTGGCCTACAACAGAGAAAATCCAAAAAAGATTTAAACTCTTCCTTTGACTGTCTTTTCTTGGCTACAAAATATAAATAGATGATTCTTTTAACTCATCCTTGAATTTTTGATCTAAAAGAAAAATTACAGAATCCAAGAATTATAGAGCTGAGAGGTATCACTAGAATATACCCCTCACTTTATTAATGAGTTCTCTCCCCAAAATGAAGGGGTGTGATGTGATCTATCTGAGATCATTAGGAGCCAGAGAGTCCTGGGATGAAGAACAAGCCCACCCTTGGTGCCTGTGTCTCACTGGGCTGCCTGGCGTCACTGGTGGCCTTCAAAGTCGCAGGCGACTTCACCAGCTCCAAGCACACCCACAGGCCCATGGGCAGACACATAGACACACAGTGAGCGGTCTTCGGTAAAATTACTTCTCGTCTTCATTCACAAGTACTTTTCACAAATCATTTGGAGACAAGTCAAGTCTTAGAGCCACTAATGATAAGCTCTTGAGTCTCGGTAATCGACTTGCTTCTGGGACCAGGGTCTGACTGTGACATATGTCTCCCCATTACGAGAACATCATAATCCTACTGGGGGGGATGACTAAATGGTGCCTTTTTTCTCGCTTTTATTTTCCCTGAATTCATCCCGAAACTGCCGCCCAGCCTTATCTTACAAGTGGCCAAGTTTCTTCATTTAATAAATGAGCACTAAACTACAATCTGCCAGTTTATTTAAGTAACACAAATCCATAAGTGATTGTGTCCTTTGAGCCACACGGCACGACCCAGCAGAGCTCTGGGGCCCTCGGGGGAAGACTTGTCATCACGGCCGATTTCAACAAATGCTGACGAATGCTATGCAAGTCATGCTATTTTTTGCAGCCGAGAGCCATATCTCAAAATCAGGTTCAATGAAAACGCATACAGGAAATAAAACAATTCTTACTAGAAAAATGTATTCAAGTGGTACTTCTATATCATCCTCCTTTATCATAGTCCATTTGTTAAACTGACTTGAAGTTTTGAGAGTGGCGTTATCAGAAGTCTCTGTCATCTTACATAGCCTCATTATTTGTTTAAGGTCTATTTTTGGGTAGGTTGATTGGTTACATTTCTGTTGCTGTTGTTTGCCTGATTTTGTAGACAAGTAGCTGACAGGTGCTTTCAAACTTCTGTTTGATGCAAGCTGGTCTACACGAAACCAGGCAGTCCATTTACTGCCTTGCTGGGTCTCCCCAGCTTAGAAAGATGGAATATTACACATTTCAGAACTCACTTTATCTGTTACGATTTTCAGCCGTGACGGTCGAGACAAGACATTGCTGGGACCTGAGAGCCAGGAAGGCAAGAACGTGGCTCTGCAGCTTGCGAGCCGCTCGGTGAGAGCCGGGTTGTGCACTTTCCAAACCAGCACGGCCAGCGAGGGCCCCGAACCGCCCAGGACAGCCGGATCCTTCACAGCTCAGGCCAATGACCTGCGAAGCTAGAGGTTATAAAAAAGAACCTTCAGGCCCTCCCTGGTGGCACAGCGGGCTAAAGCACAGCACTGAGAATCTAAAGCCGCTTCCGCATGAGTTCGATTCCCGCTGTGGTCCTGGAGGTGACCACATGGCGTGGCAGACCTCTCCTGACCCGCCCGCTGCTCCCCTCAGCAGTGTACTTCGTAGATCTGCCTGTTCTGCTCCCCACTCTGTCTCTGGTGAATCCTCTCACCATCTGCATCTCTGGCCTGTACCCCAGTTCTGTATAAAAATAAATAAATCTTTAAAAAAAAAAAAAGAACCTTCAAAAGGCAATAAAAATGCCTCTTCCCGGATGTTGGCCACTGGCACACCCAAGTCAGCTCTATGGCCTCTGCAGGGAGCTGCTCCCAGGGCACCAGGGGAGGCCGCCCCTGCATCTGGCAACGGAGAGAGCAGGGCCGGAGGCCAGCCTGCTGGTTCCGGGGGAAAGTTCCCCCCCTCCCGTCCCGAAGGAGCGCTGCTCCTGCCCCGGCCAGCGGGGGGTGCTAAACAAATGCCCTGTGCAGGTCAGTCCCTCCATTAGGGCCCGTCTTGAGCAGCACAAAGCATTCAGGGGTCCTCATTAATTTTCATGACACCCCTAGGTGTAAACGGGGAGCGGCCAGGGCCATTGCCATTCTGCAGCAGGGGGGCGGGAAGCCGAGGCCGGCTGGATTCCACAGAGGAGCGGCTCACGGCGGACGGCGGCGGGAGCTGCCCTCCTGCTTACCCGCTCGCCACAGGCACAAGGCACGCCAGCCGGCACCCAGGCTGCAAAGCTTCC